CTGCAATGAAAACTAGAAAAGTGAGTATCTTCCTCCAGTCCTCTGCGAGAAGAGGATAGCGCAATATGTTTTTTAATCTTCTAGCAGAATCGGGAACAACTCGGAGATCTCGGTGACCGAGGTACACAGCCCCATGTGTGCACTGCTGTGCTCTCAGCCCAGACCAGACCCGCCTTTCTCAGGCCGAGATCCCCTGCGGCCCTGAGTTACTTAAGACACTGTAAAAGAAAATAAAACCCGCTCTCTCACCCCAGACCTACTGAACGGAATCTTTAGGGCTGAGGTCTCAGAACATGCCTATACAATAAGACACCCTGGTTACTCTTACATATAAGGAACATCTAGAAATACTGACCCACACTCTGTCTCACCTCCTTGCCTTTGCTTACGCTGTTTCCTTGGCTTGGAGATGTCTTTCCTCTTCTACAGGATCCTTAACACATTTTTTGAGAGCTGCCTCTTCCTGAAAGCCTTTCCAGATTCTCCCAAATTGAAGTTAATATTGTATCTTCATTATTGCGGTTAACACAGTCTCCCTTCTAGAGTTTTACTAGAAAATAGTTTCACCAAACGGTAAGCAGCCAGTGGGCGGTGATTGCCGGCTATGCTAATAACCATCCCTGGTGCCCAGCAAAATGCTTTGTGTCTAATGGGCACTAAAAGAGCATCTGTTGAATTTGGATCGATTCTCTACTTACTTTTTCCCAGTAAACCATTCTGTTCTGACATCCTCCCAAGAGCACAGATTCCTTCAGAGTATGTATTATTAAGGTCAGGGTGGTAGAGATGGTCTTAATAAACATGATCAGCCTTAGTTCCCAGCCCATCAGAATAGGGGCGTGTGTGTGTGTGTGTATGTTGTGACGAGTTGATTGAGATCCTGTGTCTTCCTCATTTTAATCTTGGATATCACTTATAAGGCATGCTGGACAAATCCGCCAAAGTCCCAGTTAAATCTGCAGCCATTAAAAAAAAATGGCATAGTTGTATCCTGGGTTGGTTGTCCTTTCAGGAAACAGATTTGATCATTTCACTAAAGCAGCAGCTTTCACCATCCACCGTCATGCTTGTCCCCTGGGACCCTTAGGTCAAGTACATACAGCACTTGTTTCCAATGATGTCATAGAAATACTTCCCACAGTCATATGAGGAGCGAAGGTGTGGAGATGAACTCCACTTTCTAGTAAGATGGTCTCTTCAAAGCTGCATGGTCCCTGTCAGTGACATTGTAGGCACTTTTCTGGTTCTGTGTGACTGTTAATCCTTTGCTAGGCTTCTCCATTGGCTGGTTTGCTGGGTAGGGCGTTGCCCAGACCATCGGCAGGAGAAAGTACGTGTGGGAGCTCTCCAATTCTCTCCACCTCTACTGCAGGGTGATATCGGAGGATGGTCTGATCAGTGGGGAGTGGGGAGGGATGTACTAACTTAGAGTGAGAGCCCATTAAAGAGTTTCTCCAATTATTACATCACTGATCCCTAAATTATCTTGATTATTTGACCTCACACCAGGCAGCAAGGTGAAGCTGAGAAAATCATTGGATGTGGCCAGCGAAATCAGATTTTTATCAGCTTGGTTAAGGTTTACGAAAGTAACAGCGTTCATGAAAGTATGATGGACCCGACAACTGTCTTGGACAGGGGACTCCTTTTTAAATGTATGGAGCCTCGTCTTCTCCCTATTTCTGTCTCAGTTTCTAATGTTAATGCAATAGGAAGAACTCCAGATGACCACAGTCACCTAGTAATCCCACAGAATACATAACAAGGAGATCTGAAATCCTGATGTCAGGCGGAGGAAGACCCCTCCCTTTCCCTGACCCTTCCAGTACATGCAGGACTCTAAAGTGACCAGAGGCAGTGAGAAAAGGTCCCTGCATGTGGTGCGAGGAGCTGGCTGACCTTTAGAGTAAACGTAATGGAAATTCATGGGAAGGGGGTAGGATAATTACATTGAAATGGGTCTGGCAGAAAGGAGATAGTACAAATTAATTGATCTTTGAGCAGTTTGCTTGGGGAAAAAAAAAGAAATTGGTAATTATATCAGCTGGATAAAGTTTGTGTTTATGGAGGGGGGGAAATTACAGTTCCAGCACCCCCAAGGAATCCGCTTGTGCTGACCCCTTGCAGTGGGATCTTCCCTCCACCCCTGACTCCTGGCAACCACCCTTACAGTTTTCTTCTTTTTCATACACATCATTCATACAGTATGTAAAAGACTGGCTTCCTTTGCTTGGCATAATGCCTGCTTGATATAAGTTTTCCACATACTTTGAAGTGCGAAGAACCCCTTCTTTCCAGAACAAAGCGAATAGGAACCTGAGAAGATGGGTATGGAGAAGCCGAGTTAGGGACCCACAGAAATGTAAACAGACATGCAGCGCCCCTGGGTGAGCATGCTAGCGCCGAATGCCTGGCAGATGGGATGGGGAGGTGGGCAGGGGCGACCTTGCCTGGTTAAATGTTTTCTTTTCTCAAACTAACCTCACTTCCTGCTCTGACCTTTCCCCCTTCCCAGGGAGTTGGGGGTGGTAGAAAGACACACACAGAACTTACACACCCATAAATACATTTGCCTCCATTTTCATGGCCTGAGTGCTTCATTTACAAAGAGGCCATCAACCTGTCAGATTCAACTTCAGATTTTGTTGAGGGCTATCTGGTGCTGTGTATGATACCAGGACTTGTAATCTAGAGCTGTACACTTGTTTCTCAAGCTAAGATTTATTTTGCAAAATATTTCATTCTAAATTTGTGTTTTCCTTCAAAATAATAGAAATTTAAACATTAGAAATTATAGAAGGTAAAAAATTTAACTTTTGATATCTAGAATTGGGATTTTTAGATGTAATTTATTAGTAATCATCTCTGTATGTAGTTTTTCATAGTGTTTTTGGTAGTGTTCATTTATTTTACAAACTAAGTTATATGTAATTTTAAAATTATAATTTATATAATTATAAAATTTATACAATATAAAACACTAATCTCATATTCACTGACTCCTCTGTACACTTTTTCATTAGGAATTAACTACATTTTAATTTTTGTTTTTGTTTTTTTTTTCCCTATAGTTGTGATATTCAAAGCATAGATGATTGCTATTTCCCCAGAAAAGCAGGCAGACTTTCTTAGGACATTTATCGCATTCATTAACTGTTACTTAGAACTAACTACTTCTTCCTCATGATGGTTAATGTATTCATGACCTCATACGTGTTGACCACATATTCTGCTGCTGATGTAATTTATATGGAGGTATATGGAGATGTTTGCATATACTAAAGGCCTAAAAGGACAGTAAAGAAGTTACTCTTGGTGCTAGCACTGTGGTTATTATATAATTAAGCTATTATTGTTCTGCCATAAATAGAATTATTTTACTGTATCTTCTCACTTGTCCGGAAAGATGTTATTTGATGCTTTTCATGTATCCAGAAGTTAGAACATAAGCTTGGAAGCCCTCAGAGTGCTCAAAAATCTGTTAAAAGTAAACCCAATAAACCTTATGCCTACTGTGTGGTAGGTGTTTGTATATATTGCTTTATTTAATCTCCACAATCATCGTACGTAGCAGTCATTCTTGCCACGTCCACAGAGGACATTGAACATCTGAGGTCACAGAACTTGTCCAAGGTTGTATGTCTGTAGCTGGGGTTTCAACTTGGGTGCATGTGTCCCTCAAGATCCTGATTCTGAGCCTGTTTATTCCCACATCAGTCATTCACACAAATATTTTTTCAATATTCACTATATGACAGGCCCCTGGGTATCGGATTAAAGATGGATTTATCAAATTCTAAGGAATTCCTTTATCTGTTTTTTGGACTGCAGTAAATATGAAACAGTAGAAAAGAGATGAGGCTACAGGACAGAGACACTCTCTATCTTATCTACTGTTGGATTCACAGGCCGAGCACAGCACATAGTAGGAGTGTATCAATAAATACATTCATATGGATCAATGACAAGAAATACCCAACTGGGCTTCCCCAGTAAAGAATTTGTCTGTCAATTCAGGAGACATAAGAGACACAAGTTCTATCCCTGGGTTGGGAAGATTACCTGGAGAAGGGCATAGCAAGCCTCTCTAGTGTTCTTGCCTAGAGAAACCCATGGACAGAGGAGCCTGGCGAACTGCAGTCCATGGGGCTGTAAAGCGTCGGACACGACTGAAGGAATTTCGCAAGCATGCATGCAGTAGCCGACTAGGAGAGAGAATTAAATGTGGGAAGGATTTGAACTCAAGCAGCAGAACTGTCCGGGACTGCTCAGTGTATGAATAAGCAGTTGGTATCTCGCTAGACCCATGGGGTAGGAAGAGTCTTCAGCGTGCTCACTGATGCCGGAATGATGACCTTGGGCCACCTAGTGACTGAGGAGACCCAGGCTCTGTACCACGGAAGGAGAGGCACTCATGAATGTGGCATCCTGTTTAAAAAGCAAGGAAGTATGCAAAACATTTTAGAAAAGTTTCCATTAAAAATGGCATTTGTTCCCCTTAAAATAGGCCAAAGGGCTAAACTTCTGTGTCTTAGAAAAATCACATAGGTGGAGAAATTGTTTCCCTAACGCTCTTGGATAAAGAGGTATTACACAATACAGTTTTTCCTTTTCCTGGTAAATTGTAACATTAAATTTTCATGCCAAATGAAACTTTGAAGAATTCAAGTTAATACTCTTTGGAAGGTACCTTGTGTCTTCCAAAGGACTGTTATCTATTTAGGACTCTATCTCATGCATAGCACTTAACAATCTATTGGATGTAACAAGTGAATAGGCTGCCTAGAATGACAAAGCAAAGTTTTTTGAGTCATATAACTTGAAAGAATCATGATGCATTGAAGTCATGTTTGAAGTATCATTTAGTTTTTTGTAAGGAAAAAAAAATGGGGACATTAGGGAACTACTGATATGATTTCAATTTCATTATTCAGCAGCATCGATGCGCTACTTTCTTGTCCCAAGAATGTATCTATTAACAGTGATGTTTTGCCTTACAGCTTTTCTGGGAGAAGAGGCTACAAGGACTTAGTGCATCAGATGTAACAGAACAAATTATAAAAACCATGGAACTCCCTAAAGGTCTTCAAGGTATTCTCCGAGTTCAGTTGAGCAGCCCCTGCTGTGTGCCAGGCTGTGTGTTGGAGGCAGTGGAGGCAGACGTGATGAGGGCCACAGGTCTTTGCTGTGGGGACTGTTTGCCTCGCTGGGTGATGCTCCCCTTGGGTTTTAGTAAACCCAGAGGCAGTGTGCCTGAAACGCTTTGTAGGTTGCAGAACGCTTCCAGGCGGTGTCTTACCTAAGTTTCTTTGCGTGTACCTTTTGGCCTGAGTTTAATTAGGCTCGTCATGTAAATTAATCCATGTTATGTGTTCAGACCCAAATGCAGCCTAAGCGGCAGACTGTCCCCAGCTTCCTGCTCGAAGCAACATCGGGCCCCAGTGCTTGCTTTTTTCTCCCTTCCTCTTATCCAAAGAACAGCCAGCATCTCTCCTCCTGCCTCTCCCTCCGTGACCTGCTGCTGCAAGCCTCAGATGCCCATGGGTCCAGTAACAGGAGCGAGCGGGGTCTGGGGGGAGAGCTCAGCTGCTGGCGTGCCTTGTGTGGGTCACACATTCACTCCAGGTTCTAGGGAAGCATTAGTTTTCGAGTGGTTACAGCTTTGGGCTTCTAAATCTTGATACATTGCGGACTGCTCAAAAATCCTCATAATTCATGGTTAGTGTCTCATCCCTCTGTGCTCTTGGAAATTATTGCTTTAACTGGTTTAACAAGTTTAGGACTGTAAGAAAGGCACTTAAAGGTAGCCATGGTTCCAGTCTCCTAATGTGCAGTCAGTGTGTACAGGTATTAGTCTTACTCATGTGGATATTTTGTTAGTTGAAAAAGCTGTTAAAGGTGTAGGTACAGCCTACTTGCATTGGCTTTTCCTTTGAAGTCCCTGCACAAAAAAGAAGTGTTGAGACACGGCAAGCTACAGGGGAAACGATTCAAGGACCCTAGGGACATGTTAATAGGGATATTTGAATGTAAGATGACTTTAGAAGGGACTTAGATCATTAAGAATAATTGACCTTGCATGATGAAATGTAGCCAACTTTTTAAGAAGTTTTTAATACCTTGGACATGTATTTTAAAGTTCTGTTTAAGTTTTGTTAAAATACTCAAGTGTTTGGTTAGTTTCCTTAATGTTTATTCTTTATTGTTGATAACTAAGTAAATATGCTGTTACCTTTTGCTGCTTTGGCTTGTGTCAGTTTTAAATAGCTGCTGTCAGATGAATATAAAGATAATCAGTTGTTTTAGGCTCCACAAGGTTTGCTCAGCATGGCTAGAAACGTCCTGGAACTGATGTGTTTCTAATTGCAGGGGTTGGTCCGGGTAGTAATGATGAGACCCTGTTATCTGCTGTCGCCAGTGCTTTGCACACAAGCTCTGCACCCATCACAGGGCAAGTCTCCGCTGCTGTGGAAAAGAACCCTGCTGTCTGGCTTAACACATCTCAACCCCTCTGCAAGGCTTTCATTGTCACAGATGAAGACATTAGGTGAGAGCGGAACATGACTTCAAAACACTTGTCTTCTACACTTGCTATGTTTTTTATTGCTTGTTAGGTTCAGTGACATGTCCTAGTAAGTGATGAACCTTCTTTACAAAACCGTTTTAAAACAGATGATATAGGATGTTTAAAACAAACGCATGCTTGAAAAAGGTGGCATTGTATAAGGTGTATCATCCTGATTGTCCCCGAAGGACAGAGCAGTCGTACTCTCCACCTGGTTTTGGCGGTATCTTCTGCAGTCTGGGGTTCTGCCTTTCTGCTCTGAAGAGTCACTGCATTCAGTTATGCCTGTTCTGATTGCTCCCTGTATTGGTTTATCTGCAGTAGCAGATCATTGCTATGCTGCTTTGAGTTCAGTTGTGTTTTCAAAATTCAGTTTACTTATCTTGATTTTATTGATCTCACGTAAACTCAATTTAGAGATTTATTTATCTCTACTTAACTTTGTTTCAAGTAAAGGTGTAAGGTGGCTCTGAAGACACACACACACTCACACAGTGAGACACACGTACATACATTGAGTGAAGCCAGATGAGAAGCAAATGAGAAGAAAGACAAAGCAAAAGGTAAAGCTGTTACGTAAAATGGAGCTGAGAGCGAGAAGCGGACACAAGCTGCATCCATTAACATCTTTCACTCTTTCTAAGGCTGGGCCACAAATTAGGTTTATAGCGGCAGATTATGAAAGGAAAATGTATCGCTCAGCTAGATAATGCCCAAGGAGTATAAGCAAGCCATTGCTCAGGTGAAACGAAACTATTCCAGATACTAAAACCACAAAGAAATTCTTATATGGGATTTATGGATTTCAGTATTATTCTTTAGAATGATTGTATTGTGGTGGTGGTTTAGTCGCTAAGGTGTGTCCAACTTTTGTGACCCCATGGACTGTATCTGGCCAGGCTCCTCTGTCCATGGATTCTCCAGGCAAGAATACTGGAATGGGTTACCATGTCCTTCTCCAGGGGATCTTCCCAACCCAGGGATTGAACCCGTGTCCCCTACACCTGCAGGCTGTCTCCTGCATTGCAGGTGGATTCTTTACCACTGAGCCACCAGGGAAGCCCAGAATGATTGTGTGCTATACTGTGTTTTCTTTAAGAAGAGGACAGGGTGTATACTTCATTATTTCTGTCCTCTGAGTGTGAACCCCAAAGCTTTACTGTTCCTAGACCAAGCCAGCAGATGGCACTTTTGAATTAAAAAAAAAAGTATTATATTTGTTTTTCTAGTTCCTTGAAAGTTGGTATGAGACTGTTGTTAAATGCCTGCATCTATCTAGCCAGGTTTATAATTGGAAAGCCGTTCCCGGATTTTAAAGCAATTCCTTTTGCAAAGATGTGAAATGGTTTGAAGTTGTATTCAGATGATTGATGATGTAGAATTTATGATCAGTGTTACTATATATGTATTTTTTTTTTTTTTTTAAGAAAAACAAAGTGTGAAATCAAGGAAAGGAATCAACTTGCACTTTGGTCTGTTCCTACCCTTGAGGAAGGAAATCACCCAGGAGGCTAGCTCCCCTCTGTCCTGGAATGGGCACCCAGTTCATCAGCCCGGGTCCTGCCAGGCCCCTGTGGGTGTTGACTGAGGTCCTCTGACTGATGACAGGGGCCCGTGGGGACATCTTGGGGCTGTGTTAGAATCCTGCCTACCACATGGCGGCGGAGGCTTTACTTTCGGTTTTCATAAATGTGGGAAGCCTCGCCAGTGTCAGATTTTCAGATATACTTCTTCAGCCAAAGCCAGACCTGGATGCTTTTCTTTTAGGGTAAACTCGTCTGACAGATTGTCCATTTGATTTCTTTGTCTTGTCCATTTGATTGCATTGTCATAACAGAAATCATCAAGCCAAACATTTCTTCTCCGATTAGTACATATTCAAAATAAACGATTGCAAATGGGATTATCACCTTTTCTCCTGTTGTGTCACCAATAATCTGTTTGTGTTAAACCTTCAACTGAGGATCTCAACATTGAGCACTTTTTTTTTTCCAGCCAGCTTGATAACTGTTTTCATTCATGGGTTTTTTTGTTTTCTGATACCTAGTGATAAGTTCTCACAAACCTCGCTGTTTAAAGCAATAGCTGTTCCTAGCTCTCGTTTTTGTAGGTCGGAAGTCTGGGCGGGCATGACTGGATTCCCTGCCCCAAGCCTTACACAGTGGAAATCTGAGTGTCTGTAGAACTGCGTGGCCTGTGGAGCCTGGGCTCCTCCTAAGCTTGTTGCAGAGTTCGTGTCTTTCTAGCTGCAGGGATGAAGCGCCTCTTCCCGTGTCGGCTGTGGGATCGGCTGTTCTCAGTGGTGGTTTCAAGCCGCTGGCCGCTCCTTGCCCCATGGCTCCCTTCACATTCCCTCTCCTGCTTTCTAAAAGGGCCCAGCCCCCTTTAAAGCCTCTTCTTATTAGGTCAGGCCCTCTGTGATAATCTCTTTTGATTAACTCAAGGCCAGCTATTAGTAATCTAATCATAGAATGACAGCCCATCATGTGTTCCTAAGTCCTTCCTGCCCTTCTGGGGAGAGAATTCTGCTTGGGATGTGACCCGGGGCCCATGGGGACATCCTGGGGCTGTGTTAGAATCCTGCTTGCCCCTTCCGGCAGAGGCTTTGCTTTCGGTTTCCATAAATGTGGGAAGCAGCGCTCAAGACAGCAGAGGAGCGGTGGCCAGGGTCAGATTCTCAGACGCACTTCTCCAGCCAGAGCGCTGCTCCTCCCGCTTCCTTCCTCCTCCCGGTGGGGCGACGTTAGGGCGGCTGTGCAGACACAGGAGACTGCCCGTGACCGACACCCCATTTGTCATAAGCCTGGAGTTACTGAGCCAGACGTAAGACTGACTGTGTAAGAAATAATCATCCTGTTTTTCATGACTCTGCTCCACTGTGTGACGATCTGTTGAACTCCAGGCACTGCCCTGGCGGTGCAGTGGTTATGTCTTCACCTTCCAACGCATAGAGTGCGGGTTTGATCCCTGGTCCAAGAGCTAAGACCCCACATGCCTCAGGGCCAAAACAGAAGACGGAAGCAGTATTGTAATACTTGCAGTAAAGACCTTAAAAACGAAAGTGGTAGATGCACAATTGTATCTGACTGTTTACAACCCATGGACTATAGCCCGTCAGGGTCCTCTGTCCATGTAACTTTCCAGGTAAGAATCCTGGGATGGGTACCTGTTCCCTTCTCCAGGGCATCTTCCCAACCCAGGGATTGAACGTGAGTCTCCTGCATTGCAGGCAGATTCTTTACCGTCTGAGCTACCAGGGATCAAAACATCTCTAAAAAAGAGAAAAAAACCTGTTCAACTCCAGTTTCTGTGAATATGATTGAGGCTACAGAGCTTGACTCAGTGGCAGCTCCCCTTCTTTTCGAAAATTCATTTAAAAGGGGGAAGTCTCAACCTTTTATCTCTCTGTGCATTTTTTAGAGTTTGGTAAAGATGGTATCTAAAGTTTTTGTGGTTACACAACATATGTTAATTTCACTCCCTTGGACATAGACTCATGAGATAAAGAGATGTGGGGACTAGACTGCAGCAAACGTGACTTCACAGCTGGTTGGGCACCCAAGGGGCGAATGCCCAGGGCATCTTGGTGGGGTCTTCTGGAACATCGCCCATCTACCCTTCTGCTTTCCCCGGTTTGGGACAGTGCTGTCATTTGTCTTCCTCAACGATGGATGGAGAAACTGTCACTTCTTCCTTCAGCAGAGCCCTTAGAATCCCTCGCTGCATCTCTTCCCTGTCCTGGTGCTGCTCCCCTCCAGCCTGTATCCATCCCACCACCTTTCCTGGCCTCTGGAGGCCATGTGCCCTGTTTTCTAGTCAAGGCTTGCCTTCCCACCTAGGCCTTTGCCTCTGCTCCTTTCTTGCTTCTTTTCTCAGCCTTTTACTTTCCACTCTTGTCGCTTCTCTCCTGTTTCTTCAACCATTGCCTCCCGACTGGGTTCTGGAGGCGAATTTCTGTTTGCCTCTTGGTTTGCTTAGAACTGTTTTAGGAATCTCTCTTGCCCTGTCAGGGAGCTGTTCTCCATTTTTTTTCTTCTGCTTTTTAAGGATGACATGTGTCCCAGTAGTCGTGCCCTGTTTAAGGATGACTTGTGTACCAGTAGGTGCGTTCTGGTTTTCATGTCTTGGTTCTGCCTCTTTTGTATGGCTTGCTGTTTTTAACTCTCACTTTGGAGGCTTCTTTAGAGTCCCCAAGACACAGAGGAACTTGCATGTTCTTCACTTACTTGGCTCAGCTCAGCTCAAGGGTCTGTTCCTCCTCCGTCCTTGGTGTACGGGATTGTGTGGTCTTGGCTCCCTCATGACGGCCCTGGCCTGCAGGCTGCGGACCCAGGGGAGAGCTCCGGCTGGCCTCCTTGTCACCGCCAGTGGTGGCAGCTGAACCAGCCCATCACGCCGTCTCCTGCTCCATCCTTCTCAGTGCTTCACCCAGCAAATCGCTTTTCCATATCACTCCCCACTTCTGTTCCAAATCATCCCTTATAGGAATAACCCCGAACCTTCGCATACTTGAAGTTTTTGAAGTTGAAGAAAAGGTCCCTGAAATATACCTCCTCCTGCCGGAATTCTCTGTGAAATGAGGGCTTCCCTGCCTGTCCGAATGTCCCCCCTTTTTGGGCAAAACCCATCTCCCACGAGACCTGGTTTTTGTGAGGGTTAGAAGCTGCTTTTGCAAAGTCTAAGGAGAAAGAAGTGTGTGTGTCTGAGGAATTTCCCTGACTTTGGAGTAAAGATAAAGCGCGTCGTCGGCAGCATCGTTGTTCCAACACTGGCCAAATTGTTGGTGTCTTTTTACTCTGTTTTCACAAAGGAAACAGGAAGAGCGAGTGCAGCAGGTACGTAAGAAATTGGAAGAGGCACTGATGGCAGACATCCTGTCCCGGGCTGCTGACGCGGAGGCGATGGGCCTCGAGATGGACAGTGGAGATGACGCCTAAGATTGGCATCAGGTAAAGCAACGCCGGGACGTGGGGAAACTCAGGGCTTTTCTTTCCTTGCTCCTGCCCTTGCAGCAGCTTCGGCGGCGCCTACAAAGCCTTCTCCACTGCATATCTTGTGCGCGTGCTGTTGTTGGGCCCCCTTTGTGTTTAAGGACCATGTACGTGTGCATCCTTTTGTTCTCATGATGTGAAAATGTTCACACCCCTGCGGCCACTCGCGCGGGATTTGGGCTCCAGCGTGTCACTGGAGCAAAGCAGAGGAGGAAGGAAAGGACTCTGCCAGGGAGAGAGGCGTTGCAGGAGACAGGGCAGCCGTCGCCTCCGCCATGGTCGCTTTCTGGGGTAAAGGGGTCTATTGTCACCTACGTAAAATTATGGTCACAGAGTAGGCAAAAACCCCTCACTCTCCTCTCCTTTTCTGATCTCTCTAGCACAGGCGTGATGCAGGGAGACCAAGTTAGGCTGCTGTAGTCTAGAGGTGATGGTGGCTTCATGAGGGTCTTGGTATCATGGATGCAGAGAAAAATGGAAAAGCCAATCTGAGATGTATTTGGAGGTAGAATCTACGTGACCGGGTGGATGACTGAGCCCAGGCCATTTACGGGAGCCCGCTGGGTGGGTGGGTGGGGAGGGGACCTGTTTGGTACGGGAGCAGACTGGAGGTGGTGCACGCCGGGAGGAGGAACTCACTGTTCACGCGGTCTTTCCTTCCCATCAGTGCTTTTGTCTTAGAGTGGCTTATGCCACAGTGACCCAGAAATCAGGTAGTAGTTACAACTTTTTACATTAACATCGTCAGCGGCAGCAGCGACCTTTGACCACACAGTTTCCTGACTGTGCAGAACCATTTAAATCCAGTTTGATGCTCTTTTAAGTCGTTTTCTTTTGGTTTCCGTGTCGAGGATGGGAAGATGCTGTGTTGACGCTGAATCTTGTCTGCTCTTCCAGTAGGGGTGTGTTTTCTGGACTGTGATGAGCACACTTCATATGTGTAAAGTCTCTCAGGGGGAAGTCTGAAGTGTATTTTTTTTTTTCCAAAGACTTCAGCACAGTGCAGAAATGTGGGCCACCATGCCTGCACCGTATGAGAACTGACTCCAGGAAAGCCCTCTCCTTCAGAGCGTTTAATTGTTTTCCAGACTTCCCCCTGAGAACAATGTAGGAAAAACCAAGGGTCGTGTCATTGAGGTTTTACTGGACCCTTGCCTACTTTGCAGGTTACTTTGCAGGTTGATGTCAAGGCAGCCCCCTGGGTCATGTGAGCGACCATGCGTTTGGGGACTAGGTACTTGGCTCACATAAAGGCCGGCATCGCTCATCGCCTGGCCCAAAGGCATAGACGTGGAAACCAACTAATTAGCGTTGAGTGATTAGTGTTAACATATATTTAAAAAGTAGCCAACACTTTGGCATGTTGGGTAGGGAGAAATTGGTATTATATATATCATATTCTAAACTTGAGAATGGCATTATTAGACCAGGCCATTAGACTTTTGGGTTATAGAAGATTTAGAAGTACATCTTAACTATCAAGACTAAATTTACCTAAATCATTAATTTAGCCCCACGTACACCTAGAATGTTTAATAAACCAGAGCACTGCCACATGACTTAACTAGGGGTTCATAATAAGCTGAAGAATAGGTAGGACTTAGCTTGACTAAAGGTGGGGCATGGCCAAGTTCAAATGCCTGGTAACATGCAGGACTCTGAACCACGCAGTTCTGTTTAGGTATGTTCATTGCATTATGACAGGGCTGGTCTTTCTAATGGTCCTTATTAGCAGTGTGGACCTTTATTTATTTTATACACACATACAAATCCAAGTTAAGCAGTAATAAGACTTTTTACTCTGTTTCTATCATCTATAAATTCTCTGAAGTAAAATAAATTATGGTGAAATAAAATAAATCATTGTTAGTAGAAATCTTCCTAAATTTTCTCAATATGTTTGGATTTGGCTGTATCTGTGATTTTTTTTTTTTTTTTCATGTGTATGCCCTGTGAGTTCCCATTTTATGCTGACTGACTTGGATGGAAAACCTTTTCATAAGCATACAAAGGGGCACATATGATTACTTTGAAAATGAAGTGAAGATTCTTTCAGAATTAAAGAAGTTGAAACAATGGGGGGAAATGTTGAGTCCTTTTTATGTGCAAAGTGCTGTAACTAAATGCTATCAAGGCTTTAAAAATCCTATTCTATGTGAAATTTGGTCTCTCACTGCTTTTCCAAGTTTTGCTGACCTCACCTGAGAAATCACTGAATTACCTGAGTGTGTTTGTTTTCTTGCAGGTAACTTTCGACCGACTTTCCCCGAGAGCAAACTCCTAGAATTGAGCAAAAACGTTTCCACTGGGTTTTGCCTGTTAAGAAAAAAAATGTACCTGAGCACATAGAGCTTTTTAATAGCACTAACCAATGCCTTTTTAGATGTATTTTTGATGTATATATCTATTATTCAAAAATGATGTTTATTTTGAGTCCCAGGACTTAAAATTAGTCTTTTTGTAATATCAAGCAGGACCCTTAAAACGAAGCTGAGCTTGTGATGCCAGGTGCAATCTACTGGAAATGTAGCACTTCCAAGAAATACTTGTTCCCCCCCCAATTTTAATATGAACAGATCAGGAGTACCAAATAAATTTCCCAATGAGCGCTTCTTGTGACTTCACTGTATATAAACAGATTTTTATACTTTATTGAAAGAGGACACCTGTACATTCTTCCATCATCACTGTAAAGACAAATAAATGATTATATTCACAGACGGATTGGAATTCTTTCTGTTAAGGAGCACACACCATGCATAGTCCCTTAGAATTTCTGATTCACATTCAGCTGTCTTCCCTGGGCCTCAGGTTTGAAATGAAGGTGGTGGGAAATAGTTCATACATTTGCAATATGCCTCTGGATATCATGAGAATTGTGCTCAGAATTCTGTGTTGTCATGTAGTGTGGGTAATTTTTATTTTCCCTTGCCTGTAATGAGTACTTTTATTACTTCTATAAAAATAAGGCATTTTCTTCCCTCGGGCATGAGTTAGGTACACACGTGCCCTTCAGATGTTACTGGAAGTCCGAGACTGTTTTTTGAGAACATTTTGTATTTTCCAATGTCTTTTGGCTTACAGAGTTAACAGGTGCAGGTGAGACCCTTTGCCACAGAGAGAGGCAGCATTGTGGGCAGACTTGCTAAATGAACCAGATTGTAATGCTTTGCTAATTACTACCCAGCCTCCAGAGTCTTAACATTTTTTTTTTTCCTGTTGAAACTCACAAGCATTAACTTCATTACTTCTTAAATTCCTTGATATCTAATTGCTCAAACTGGCACAGCATTAAGAAATGAGTTTTAAAAAGCAAAACAAGGTAATCTGATGCCAGGAAATGGAACTAAGCAAATTTAAGTACATTTTGAGAAAACGAGCAAAAATAATATCTTTCTATAGGAAGGGCTTATGCACTTCTTAACTCTGAGTTCTTTTAAAATTAGATGCAAAATGATGTGATCAAGGATGTGACCAATCCTCTATAAATGTCACCTGTGTGTATTTTATATATATATATATATATATATATATATATTAAGTTAGTATCTCCAGCACCCTTCCAGTTCCTGAGGAAAGAAAAGAAAATAGTGAAAGTAATGTGACTCGCTAGGTTTGAACTGCTGTCTCTCTGGACCTTATGCCAAACTGCATAGGTGACACCTTCTTGGAATTCCTGATTTGCATTCAACTTTGCTCTTTGGGCCTGAGGCCACCAATTTCCTCAGAGTAATTCTGCTGGCAAATAAGCAGAGATACTGGTAGACTCTGGGAAGACAAGGGGCAGAGAAGCTCCCTGCCCTAAGCCCTTCCGACTGTCCCCAGTTGGGGTGACAGTGGGAAGTGAGTATTGATTCTTTTTAAAAGCTATCATGACTAGTTAGACTGAATGCCTGAAGGCTTTTCTTAGAGTCCTCTAGAAGTCCACGAGTCTTCATTTGTCATCAAGCTTGGGGTGACTTCATCTTGGCTATCATACGTTCATCTCACAAAGCAGTCCCACCAAGACCTACATGCTTGTATGAGCAACTTTTGTATTCAAGGGAAAAACACAGTGTACCCACATAAAAAATTTTTGTTATTCTGTACTTTGCTCAGGTTTGAAAGCCATTCCAGGGTGTCCAGCTGAGAACCCTAAGTCCAGGTGTTTGCAGTGCACCCCCAGGACATGTCCAAAATTCACCATCTCATCCCCCCAACCTTCCACCATTTTGCATTCCCTATCTCAGGGGATAGCAGATCATCTGATCCAGCTGCCCAAGGCAGACACCTAGGAGTGATCCCAGAGGCCACTCTTGTCCTTGCAGCCAACATCCCATCAATCCTGTTGGCATTATTAGCCACATTTCTCACATCTATTTATCAAAACATAGATTATCAGATGTCAACCCGCATCTTCTCCATTCCCGCAGCCACCGCCTTCATGCAGCCTCTTTTCCTCTCCTCTGCACTCTGCACCTTTTGTTTTTCACCTGTCCCCTTTCCCTCCTCCATGGAGTCATCAGTAATGGTCCTGGAAGCATCTGTGATCTCACCATTTCCCTGCTCAAAATCCCTCCCTTGTCTTGTGTACGCGGTTTAGAGTCCCGCTTAGTGAGAGTGAGCACTTGGAAATGGGGAGCACCTGTGTTCGAACCCTACTTTTGCCATTTGTGTGACTTGTCAGGTTTACCCAGTGTCTGTGAGCCTGTTCCTCCTCAGTGGAATAGTAATAATACCTACCTCATAGAGTCTCCGTGAGGACTGAACGAGTTGCTGTTTGTCACGTGTTAGCACAGTACCTGGTGTGTCGTGACGGGCTCTGCAGGTGTCATTTTATGTCACTTCCAAGAGGCATTTGCTGATAACCCCAACTACCCTCCACTTTATAAATAGCCCCAATACTCTTTATTTTCCGCCTTGGCACTCTGTTCATTTCCTTTGTAGAAATCTTCTAAATCTGTATTTTAGTTATTTGACTTTTTTTGTCTGTCTGTCTACTAGAATGTAAGCTCTTTGAGAGCCAGGGTGTGTCTGCCTTTTTCCCTGTTACAGTCCCAGCGTTTAGCCTAGTGCCTGGCACGCAGTGTGCACTCAGTACGGGTGCGTGGAGTAGACTGACGATTGATCGACAGGCTCTTCAGGATCTGATAGCCGCCTGCTTGTCTAGCTCACCCTGCCACTGTCCCCACCGCACCTTCAGCTCGAGGACACTGCATCACCTGCTCCTTCGAAGCGCCGCTCGCGCCTCTGTCTCTGCCCCTGTTGTCCCCTCTGCCTGCTGCCCGCACGGCCGGTTCTCGAGCACTGGTCCAGCCGCAGCTCGTTGTCTACCTCCTCTGTGAAGCTGTCCTTCATCCCCTCCAGGCAGATGAGCTTTTTCTCTCTTCCAGATTCCTACTGCACTTTGTAAATACCTCACAGAAGCACTTTATTGTACTGTACATTTGTTTGCATGTCTGTTTCTACTTTTAGACTGGAAGCACCATGAAAGCAGAAACTGCATCTGTCCATGCTTCTGTCCCCAGAGCCTAGCTCAGTGCCTGGCACGTAACAGCTTGTCAGTAAAGACTTGTTGAATGAATCTATGAACACCGAGTCTTGCAGTTGGAAGTCCTGCAAGACATCTGTGTTACCACGGAAAGGAATGCCCCTGCTGGCTTCCGGGGTAGTGTTTTTTTTTTTTTTTTTTGTCCTAGAGAGGAGATCGAGAAAGCATTATGTAATCTCTTTGAATATAAGATGACTTGTTTGAATTTCTGAAGTAAGTTGAACTATGTAGAGCTTCGTAAGTGATTGCGAAAGATGTCAAAAAGCTTTGTGATCCCTCAAATGCTACAAAGTCCAAAATAAATATTTGCACTATTAGTATTTCCATAGTCAATGCTATGCGAAAATGTACAGCAATAAATTTCAAAGCTTTAAAAATGTTTGTGTAAGTCATCTTCAGTGACTTAATCTGTGGAGGAATCTCGGGCCTGTGTTTCCCGGACACGGGGCGGGCCTGCGGACTGGGGTTAGGGCCCCAAAGCTTTCAAGCTTATCCAGTGACGCTGCTTGCCGTTGTTACTGCGGTGCTGGCTCAGCATTCGGCCGGGGTGTCTAGCGAGCAGAAAGAGCCGGAAGGGCTCTCAGAATCAGGTGGTGCCCACGCCGGACCTTGCAAGGCCATAGCCTCCGGTCCTCCACTGGGACGGTCACAGCTCCCTTGCCCTGCCCGCCTTCACAGCTGGGACGCATGTGGCCCCAGTGTGAAATCTGCTTCACTGGCTTCCACCATACAGAGGTGGAGCCGTCACATCCATCAGAACGGGATTAGCTGTGGGATTGCGAATTACAGAGCTATAGCTTGTCACACCTGCCTGTCTGAAAGGTCTGGGGTGGGCTTTATTTTTTTAAGAAGGTTTTTTTGTTTTGTTTTTCTATTTCTTTTTTTATTTGGCTGTCCAGGGTCTTCTCTGCTGTGTGTGGGCTTTCTCTAGCTGCGGTGAGCAGGGCTACTCTGCGTTGCGGTGCTCAGCCTTCTCACTGCAGGGACTCCCCTCGTTGCAGGGCACAGGCTCTGGGGTGCCTGGCCTTCAGGAGTTGTGGCACGTGGGCTCAGCTGCCCTGAGGCTGGTGGAATCCTCCAGGGCCAGGGATCGAACCCGTGTCCCCTGCATTGGCAGGCAGACATTCCATCGCTGGACCCACCAGGGAAGTCCCTGGGGTGGCCTTGAAAATTTCAAGTTGCATACTGATTTTTCCAGAGGGCCCATGTAAGTGAAAAAGTGAAAGTGAAAGTGTTAGTTGCTCTGTGTCTGACTCTGCAAATCCCATGGACTGGAGCCCGCCAGGCTCCTCTGTCCCTGGGATTCTCCAGGCACAAATACTGGAGTGGGTAGTCATTTCCTTCTCCAGGGGATCTTCCCGACCTGGAGACTGAACCCAGGTCTCCCGCATTGCAGGCAGATTCTTTCCCATCTGAGCCATTCCAGAAGAGTCCATGTAAGTGATTCAGTTAATTATTTGGCTTTGGTTTTTATGGCAGGAGGACACAAGTTTTTGTTTCCTCTCATTTATAGAGCAGTTTATGATGTTCGGAACAGGTTTACCTCCATTAATGTCATGTTTGAATTGCAAACCACAAATAAACCACATCATATATATACACATGTTACTGTCCCCAGTTTAAGAGTCGAGGAGTCTTAAGAAGCAGACGGGTTAAACGACTTACTCAAGCCGGTAAGGTGCTGAGAAGGAGCAGCCGAAGAAAGATCTGCTTTTAGAATGCCACGCAACCTTTCAATGCTCTTCCCCACTCATGTCCGAAGGTGCCTTTCTGTCTTTGACAGAGAACAGAACAGTCTGGTTTATCAAGTACAGCACGACTGTGGCCTGAAAACTTATTCAGGGCAGAGTGGCTCTTCATGGGAAGCTTGGTTCTTTTTACACTGAATAGTCAAACCTTTTCCATTGAATTCTGCTGAAAAATCTTCCCTGTTACGATTGTCTGTAAGAGGTGGAAAGAGCGCAGCTTCTCGGTCTCACAATGTTGGGAGTTATTTTTATCTGAGGGGATTAGCATTTCCCTTCTGCTGTAGTTGAGTGTTTTGCTTCATGAGCTTGCTGCTGTGAGAAGTCTGGCATCGAGATGCAACTGGACTGCAGGGCCTGGGGAAGGGGCTGCAGAGTGGGGCGCCTGCATCTAGGGCTTGTGTATAAGCATTCACTGGGGGTGGGAATGTTACCGAACCGACGT